TAACTCTGGTTTTACGTGGCCCATCGACACAATTCAAAAACTGGTATATAGTTTTAAGTCCGCACTTTCGACCCAAGTTGGATTGGAGACTCTGACGTGCTGCATCTTGTAGCTGTGTCGTCTTAAATTGGTCATGTGATTTTGACGCGCCGGCGCGTCCGGCGACCCCAGAGGGTTAAAGACAAATCCTTCAGTGGAAGAGTTTCTCTCATGTGTGACCTTTCATGTGTCTCTTCAGATTTCCCTGTCGAGTGAATCTTTCTCCACAAACACCACAGCAAAATGGTTTCTTTCCTGTGTGAACAACAGTGTGTCTTTTGAGCGTAGTCTGCTCTCTAAACACTTTCCCACACACATCACAGCCATACGGTTTCTCTCCTGTGTGGACGTTTGTGTGTCTTTTCAACGTATTCTGCTGTCTGAATCGTTTCCCACAGACATCACAACTAAACGGTTTCTCTCCCGTGTGAACTCTTATGTGTCTCTTCAGAACGCCCTGCTCTGCAAATCTTTCCCCACACACAGTGCAACCAAAGGGTCTCTCTCCAGTGTGCACTCTGGTGTGTCGTTTCAGAGCGCCCTGTTCTGTGAACCTTTCCCCACACACGCTACAACCGAACGGTCTCTCCCCTGTGTGAACTCTCATGTGTCGCTTCAGATGGGTTTTGCAACGAAATGTTTTCCCACAGTCGTCACAGCCAAACTGTTTCTCTCCCGTGTGCACACGCATGTGTCTTTTAAAGCTGTACTGAAGCGTAAACCTTTTCCCACATGCATCACATCCGTAGGGTTTCTCCCCCATGTGCACTCTCATGCTGTCCTTCAAACTGCCGTCAGTGTCTTCGTTTGAAGGCCCAGAAACTGAGAAAGATTCCTCCCGGTCACCACCATCAAAGCTGTCCTCAATCTCACAGACACCTGGAGCCTCCTCAGCAGTATCTAGTTGTTTGTGGTGGTTTGGATCCAGGTTACTGGCTGGTTCTGGTTCTCCACAGTTACTTTCATCACTTTCTGTTTTTATCGGTTGAATAGAGCTGCTGTCTTCAGTTTGGCTGTGAGGACTCTCTTCTTCATCTTCCCTCTTCACCCGAACAGCGATGATTGGGAACCTCATCTCTTCCTCCTGCTCCCGCCCATCAGCTGGTGCTCCCTCCCCATTGGTCCAGAGCTCCTCGTGTTCCTCTTTTATATGGAAATG